ACATTCTGACTCAGCCTTTGGTTGTTCCTATAAACTGTGCACTGGTTGTCTCATGTCCTCTGTTCTTTCTTTTGCTTTCTCTTTGAAATTCTTTTTTTTCTTAAATGGTGACCTTTTAGTCAAAACATTAAATACTTGATGATCAATTCAACCAAATACCAATCCAACCAAGCAAGGCAACAAATCAAAACTAGATCTAAATAACTAATGGAGACACACACAAGTTTAACGATTCAAAACACCGTGGATCATGTTTAGCTAGTTAAATCACATCAGCTGTAAGTTGCAGCTTAAGTCCATGAGAGGGATTCACACACACAAGAATATGACATGAACTATGTTAAATACAATTTCAAATAGAAAACATGATTAACACTGAAATAAATGACGGGATTATCAAAACTAAGTCTTATCACTATTTCTTCCAATGCCGGCAGCCAATGCCAAAAAAAAAAAGTAAAATTTTAAATTAAATAACTAGAGCCTTGTAAACAATACCACTGGCTTCTGTACCAAGGAGTCTCCAATATACAATACATCAGAATAAAACAATTCTGTAAAGATATACATACATATTTATGTCATCGGGGCTTTAGTATTATAATGGTGAATTCTTTGGTTGAAGTAGGGGCATCTTTGCCAGAAGAATTATCAATTTCAGTTAGATTCTTTTCGGAAAATTTACCCATAAGTCCTAGTTTTTGAAACGTTGAACCATTTAGTCCTAAAAGTTTTCTTATGCTCTATTTAGTCCCATTTTTACATCAACATGATGTGAATGATGTAAATGATCTGATGTTTCATTCTATAATTTCAAAATTTATTGAAATCTGATGAACATTAGATGTTTTTCATCCTATATTTTCAAACATTATTGAAATTTGATGAATATTAGATGTTTGAAATCCAATGTTTGTAACATGACTCTGATGTTATTAACATTGTATCTGATGTTATTAACATTGTAATGGGACCTTTCAGTCTATAAGAAAACTTTTAGGACTAAACAGTGCATAAGTTATTAATTTGGGATTTATTGGTGCATCCCCCATTCTTTTCAGCAAAAAAAGCTAGGCTATTTGGGATAGGGCAATGCACCTTCACTTCCCAACATTAGAACCACAGATGACATGGTTGACCTATCTTTTGGACTTTGTTGCACACATAATAGACCCACATGAAGTGATCTCAACACTTCAGCTACATGACAAGAGTCCCTTACAACTTCATCAAGCAAATCCAAGGACTTGCCCTCTTTATACACCATCCATGCTTGAACAACAAGCAAACAAATTAGGACTACTGCTTTTAATTTAATGTAGATATCAAAATAGTATTACCAGCCTTGATTTTTACTTGTCCAAGAAGGTTGAGGTTATGATCCGGATAAAAGAATCATCTGTTTCTCTTCCCGCTCACAATTTCCGAAACCAAAGCACCAAAGCTGAATATAACAGATTTTATTGAGAAATGCCCATCAACCGCATATTTTGGAGACATGTAGCCATTGCAATAAGACATTGAACAAATTGAGAAATTTAGGACGATAATAAGTGCATTGCAGATTACATAGATTAAGTTATAATAGAGATTCGTACTATGTTTCGACCACTCTATTTGTGTTTGCTTCTGTCTTATCTCCTTTGAAACTTCTAGCCATGCCGAAGTCTGATATCTTTGGGTTCATGACAATATCTAACAAAACATTGCTAACTTTGAGATCCTTGTAATTCTTAGTCTTGAATCTTGATGAAGATAAAGAAATCCTCGAGCAATTCCATTGATAATGTGGAAGCGCTTTGGCCAATCAAGTATGGTGCTTCGGATTATATTTGCATATCTTTGACTAAGTTAACTGTGTTTATATATTTGAGTGTAAAAAATTATTTTTAACTTTGAATACGCGGACATTCGATTGACAGCAAATTCACATAGGCAGCCACTTGAATTACATTTTATTTAAAAAATAACAATAATAATTGCAGGATGGAAAATACTTCATTTCTCTACTCACACAGGCAACCATTTGAACTTGGTCCAACCAAATTCTAGAGGAACTATGTGCCAAAGCACCACACCAGTAGAGGGAATACTTGAAAAATATAGTGCACTTTTTGATCTAAAAATTACTATGGTTTTGACAAAGCTGGACCAAAAATAAAGGAGTCTAAGCTTTTGCTAGGCATGTATTCATAGATCAACATCTTCTCTTCTCCTTGAATACAGCTCCCTAGAAGCTTTACAAGATTCCGATGATGAAGTTTGGAAATACATATAACTTCGTTCTTGAACTCATCAATTCCTTGTCTAGAGTTTCTTGAAAGCCTCTTCAGAACTATTTGTTCTCTCTCTTCCAGCGTACCTACCCTAAAGACTGGCAATTGTTATAAACCAAATATCCGACCCTTGCAAAAATGCACTTTTGTTCTTACTTTCCTTACGTCTTTTCATGTTTTTTTATTAATTACTCTCTATCAGCATTGAAAAAATTACCACCTTTGACAATAAGTACATAGAGTTTATTTAAATGCTTACCTTGTAGACAGTGCCAAAACCACACTCTATAGCTTGCTGAAAAGTTACTGGTAGCATTCATTATTGTAGCTAAATCAAACAGTGGTAGCTTTAAATCTTTCTTTTGGCTTTCATTGTTGTAACCTTGTTTAAAGATATCACTACTAAAAAAAATATTTTTTGCGATCGCTACAAATCGTTGCAAATAATAGAAATACAGTTGCAAAAGACCTTTTGCGACGGCCCATGCGATGGCAAATGGGGTCACGAATGTGGGAGTGCCAAATACTTTTTGTGACCTCAAAACAGTAGTCGCAAACTATTTGCGACTACCTAATCTACTTATGGCGACAAATGGTTTGCCGTCGCAAAAAAAAATAAAAAAATGCTTACAATGTATTAACGACCATCTTGTTATCGTTGCAAATTTTTTTTTTTTAAAAAAAATGCCTACAATGTTTTAGCAACCTTTATTCTCATATATATATATATATATATATATATATTCAAATATTATATACAATAAATGTGAAGTGACGTTTGCAAAAATTCTAACACTCATGTATTATTTTCCATCACTTCCCTCAACAAAATTATCTTTCTTCAAAAAAAAGAAAAAAGAAATGTGCATACAAAATATAAACTTCTATACATGCAAAACAAATATCCATAAACCATCTTTAAAATTATTTATACAAAATACTAACAGATTCAAAAAAAAAAAAAAAAAATCTCAGTTTAGCTCTCAATATCACCCAGTCAATAATATCAACTACTCCTTCAATACTAACTGCAAAAATATACATCAATATATTTGTACAAAGCCATATTTAGACCAAGCTAATTATGATGGAGAATAATAAAATACGATAATACACACAAGATAATTTGATCTCCTGCTCAAGCTTCTTTTCTATAGTTCCTAACTTCAAATGTTCATTTAAGATTTTTTTTATTTCACTCTCCTTTAGCTTTTTCACATGTAGCCCGGTGTAAATGTCAAGAAATTATAACAATTTTTCAAAAGGGACAGTAAGTGTTAAAAAATTTACGGTGGGACTTGCTCTCGCACAAGTCCTTAAAATAGGGCATCTCAGCAATTAAATCTATGAATAAATCCACTAATTATTTTAAACTTTACTATTAGTTAAGATAGGATACATAATCTAACGGATTCGTAGTCCTAGGACTATTAGTCATGGGATTGCTAATCGAGTCCGCCCAAACAAACATGGCATAAGTGTTAAAGATTTACGGTGGGACTTCCTCTCGCACAAGTCCTTAAAATAGGGCATCTCAGCAATTAAATCTATGAATAAATCCACTGTTAACAGTCATTGAAGAAAAAATATGTGGAAACAAGCAAACCTCATTGTCACAATCAATTTCAGCCCAACAATCATCTAAAGAAGCAATATCACAATCTTTTGTCAGCTACACATGTTGATAGTGGTTTTTCAAGAGGAAAAAAAAATGAAGAAAATAAGCATGGAAAAGGGTCATGTTATTGTGTACCTATAATGACATATTTGTAACCAAGTTTAGCAAGGCCAATTGAAACCAGAGCATCAGCTGTGGTAAAAAAAAAGTAGAAGACAAATTAACGAAGAATGTTGAGTCTGTCATAGTAACAATGTAATGTATTATTTGAAGAATAATGAAAATAGAAGAAATCCCTGAATAAAACAAAAGAAAGAAAATAAAAACATTTAAGATAACCATTATAAATTATAATTGTTTCTCCATTCAGAACTACCATCAAATAAATTAAGTAACAATAATAATAATAGCAAAAACATTAACCATAAAAACAATTAAAAAGAAAAGAGAAGGAAGGAGTAAAATCCAGAGGAACACTACAACAAAAACACACTTTAGTGGCACTATACTAGTAGCATGTTTTTAGAAAATGTCACAAAAATAATATTTGGTGACATGTTTTAAAAAAATGTCCACTACAACAAAATACACCTTTGGCGACTAAAATTAGCGAGTAAAACAAATTTAGTTGCCAAAAGTTTTGGAATTGGCGACTAAACCTTTTTTTTGGTCGCCAAAAGTATAAAATTTAGCTACTAAATTTTTTTAGTCAGGATATATTAATTATTGGCAACTAAAAAATAATTTAGTAGCTGAAAATACTAGAATTGGCGACAAAAAAAAATTTTAGTCGCCGTATATTGAGTTTTGGCTACTAAAATATTTAGTCGCCGAATGTAAAATTAAAAATTTATTTTTTATCTTTTGGCGACCAAAAGTTTAGTCGCCAAAACATATTTTCAGCGACCAAAAATTAGTTTAGTCGCCATTTATTAGGTATTGGCTACTAAAATATTTAGTAGCCAAATGTAAAATTAAAAAAAAAAAAAACTATCTTTGGCGACCAAAAGTTTAGTCGCCAAAACATATTTTCAGCGACCAAAAATTAGTTTAGTCGCCAAAAAAAAAAAAAATTGGAGGGAGACCTTTCTAATTTAAATTTGGGGGATTTATAAAAGTAATTGGCGACTAAAAATTTAGTCGCTAATGGTGTAATATATATATAATATATTTGGTTTCGATCTGCCAACACAACAGACAGAGGAAACATTTTCCACTATTAGAGAGAGAGAGAGAGAGTGAGTGAGAGAGATGGGGTTGGGGTTGCTAGCTTCCAGAGCCCTGCGTTTCAAATCTCCAAACCCTAGATATGCCATCGTTCGAACCATCGTCTCCACAGCTGAGCTCCAGAAGCCAGAAGCTGCTGCTGAAGCCCAGCCTCCGCTAGATGATGTCCAAAATCGAACCCCAGTGGGAGGAGCTAGGGTCCACTTCTCCAATCTCGGAAGACGCGATCGAGGTGTTCGTGGATGGCTATAAAAAACTCAAAGGGGATGACCGTTCTACAGGCCTGCGAGGTCGCCGGCGTCGAAATTCCCAGATTCTGCTACCACAGCCGCCTCTCCATTGCCGAAAACTGCCGTACGTGCCTTGTCCAGGTCGAGAAGTCGCCTAAGCCCGTCGCTTCTTGCACCATGCCCGCTCTTCGAGGTTTTCATTTATTTTTTTACGGATTAGTAATGCCATTTGCTTAATTCATCTGGGTTTAGTATTTTGTTGGGTTCATTATCTATGGTCTATTATTATTTTTTTTCTGGGTTCACTTGATTAGTTCAAAATTTGGTTTTTGGGTTCTATATATTTATATTTTTAATTTATTACTATTTTCATGGTTATATTTTGTTAGGTAGGTGTATTTACACTGTTATGTCCTATCCTGTTATATATTAGATCATGATGGGCTCTAGGATTATAGGTTTGTTTGCCTAAAAAGTGTTCGACAAAAAGACACTGTTGGTTTATCTTATTTGATGGGTTGTTACTCTCGATCTTTTTCAAATTTCAGATTTTGTTTATTCTTTTTCGGTTAATTTGTTGATTTTGCGAGAGGGTTATGATTAAATCAGTCTGGGAATGATTGTGGGATTAATTAGATGATGTTCTTTATGGGATTGTGCTGAATTGTTGATATCTCATGAATCTATGTCCTCTTAAATGAGACTGTTGATCTTCTTTGATTTTTTTTAATAAATTATTGTGCTCTTATTATTTTTGTTGCTCCTCGAAACTCAGCCATATGATCAATCACAAATTTGATGAGTTGATTGAGGAAAGATCCTTGTTTGTTGAGGGAGGTAGACATTGATAAATGAGTTTTCTTTTGACAGATTTCATCTATGCGTTTATCATATAACTTCCCTTATATTAATTTTTACGCCATTGCATTTGAGGCCTTAAAGTTTTGAGGGATTTATAAAAGTAATTGGTGACTAAAAAATTTAGATCATAAACTCTGAATTTGGATAATTGGTTTAGGTGATTGTTTGTTTGATATGTGGATTGTTAAATTTTTTGCCCACCAAGTGTTTGATTCTATGCTCAAGTGACAAATTTATCAGAAACAATTGGAACATGGAGTGTTTGAATCTGTTTCAATCTGTTTTCACAATTGAGCATGGTCACCAATATATGTACACCATTGTAACTCTGTTACAGAGTATTGTGATTTTATTGAGAGATAGACATTAATGAAGATCATTAGAGAGATGGACATTAATAGCAAATCAAACCACTGCATAATTAGCCAAGCCCCATGGAGTCATAAAAGAAGACAAATTTCTGTAAGGTTCCTTCAATACAAAAGTGGCCAAATAGTGATCATTTTTTACAACTTCCGTTTCATTCATTCTAATAAGGATGGGGTTCATTGCTGATGAGAGGTTTGAGGAATCGTATGCTTATGATTCCTTAATGCCATTTTTCTTCAAAGAACAGCAAAGATCATTCTTTTATTAACAATTTGATTGTGTGGCATTTGAATAGTGGACTTTCATTTTTAATGCTCTAATTATGATTGGAAAGGTCTACTTAGAGAAATTTTTTATTGCAGTGTTTGGTTTATTTTAAGATAATTAATGTGTTCAAGTGATGCACACAATGAGATTAAGTCTCTTTGGAGGTGATGCACACAAATTGGAGGTTCAGTCTCTTAATTTCTTTCTTAAATTATACATCTTGCTAGAATATCATTTCTTGTAGCAATGAAGTTGCATAAATTGCTGGTTTCTTGAAACATGTCAATATTTTTGTCTCTTAATTCGTAGTATCACTCTTTAATCTTTATTCAATCTGGCTGAGCATGTAACCAAATGTTGACTCTTAACTGCAACCCTTGTTTGGGGACATGAACTACATTACAATTTTTTGAGTTCTAGAAAATATGTACTTAGCATATGTTTTATAATCTGATGCATGTTCATTTGAGGCCCTTGCATCTGCTAACTTTCTACTGTTCTGTTTTCTTGTTTTTGACTTTTCCCTTTTTCCAGGATGCAGCTAGGTACCGTGATGAACTAAAGGATATTGCCCCACACTCTCTCTTGAAATGTTCAAGTGATGTAACAACGTTCGTATGAAAGCCATCTGGTTCTCTTACTAATAATTGCTTACAGTTTACTTTTAAATTCTTAGCATCAGATGGTTTCTATCTTTTTTGTGAGTCTATTATTTTTTGTTAAATAGCACTAAGTTAAATGTTGGTCAAGCTGGTTCATAATACTTTCTTGCATTTTTCCTATTAATTACTGTATGGCAGACTTTTGGGGATGGAGAAAAATATATAAATAAAATGTTCTTGAAGAAATGGCGAAGGAAGGTGTTGCTTGATAATTTATTTTCTGTGGTTTTTAAAAATATTTGTATATGTAGTAGTGTCTTTCGATTCGCATCTTATGAAATGATGCAAATATTTTCAAAATTATTTGTTGATTCTCCCACTTCATGTGTCCAGTATCCATTTTGTCTCTACTTGGCTATACTTTTGTGGATGCCTAGATGTTCCATGGAAATTTTATTCAGGTTTCTGTGAATTCAAATTGGTAATATATATACAATCTGTTGTATGATTTACATGGATGATCTTAGATTGTTCGACATCAATTACATCTTTTGATGATTTTTCTTGATTATTGGTGAGCTTTTGTTGATTCTTTGAATTTTAACTTCTAATGCAATTCATTAAAAAAAAATGTGATTAAAATATTTTGGTTTTTCTCCAACTTTATTTGATGACACTAGTTGTAATGAGGAGTGATGATTCTTATATCAATCATTAAACGTCCTTGAAGTTGTCCGAATTTTTTGAGTGTTAAGAATGGCAGTTGATCTATTCAGATGAATGGGTTGGTCGTTCTTACCTTTCCTCAAATACATGTAAGCTTTCTTGGGGCATGGCTTTGATTCTTTTCTATAATAAAAATAATTATATACTATTTCTCCCAACCTGTAAAACTGACTTCTTTTGAGTGATGAAAAAGGTGGTAAAATTAATACATTACTAGTTTAAATACTGTCAAAAAAAAAAAAAAAGCAATTTTAAATACATAATGTGCATTTGTTTGTCTTACACTTAACACACGTCCTTTCTTTCTTTTTCTCATTTTTCAAGTTTGTTAAGGTCTGGGAAAAGTTGTAGACTTCGATGGGTGAATTATGTAATGATTTATTTTCATATTGTAGGTATGGGACCTTGTTACTGGAAGATTTTTACAAACTTGAGCTTTTCCACTACCAATTACTGCAATAGTTGTTGATCCAACAGAGATGAAGTTATTTTTTGGTGGTATAGATTGCTAGTGGATATTTCTTTTTTGTATACGAAGGACATCATTTTTGTATGATTATCTGTTTGTATGGAATTATTTTTGGGGTTGGATTATATTTGGTTTGTATAGAATTTGATGTTACAAGACCAAATTTTTGGATGGTTAAAAGTGAAATAGAAATAGATTTATGTATTGTTTTGTTTATATACAGGGTGCAGGTTGCACGAAATAAATACAGATTATGCAGAAATTAATAATAATAATAATAAATAACACTAAATAAAGTTTTTGGTGACTAAATGTTAGTAGCCAAAAAAACAAAATAAAACTTGTTGGCTACTAAAAATTTAGTAGCCAAAAACAAACCAAAGATTTTTTGGCGACTAAAAATTTAGTAGTAAAAAATATATGAGACTTTAGGCGACTAAATAGTTTAGTAGCTAACAAAAAATATGAAAATTAATTTTTTTTGGCGACTAAATATTTAGTAGCTAATAATAAATGATACTTTGGGCGACTAAAAGTTTTAGTCGCAGAAAATGAAAATTAATTTTATTTGAAAACTTTTGGCGACTAAATATTTAGTCGCCAATTTATGACTTTTGGCTACTAAAAAATATTTAGTTGCCAATACCTCGTACTTTTCCCTCCTAAAACATTAGTAGCCATTTATAGGACTTTTGGCGACTAAATTTTTTTTAGTTGCCAAAACTTTCCCCGACCGTTTTTCCGAGACAAATCTAGCGACCAAAATATTTAGTCGGGAAAAGGCTTCGGTGACTAAAAACCTTACTTTTGGCGACTAAAACCTTAGTCGCCAAAAGTGCATTTTCTTGTAGTGGTCACAAAGCCACAAACATAAAAGGCTTTAATGGCATTTCAAAAAAGAAGTGTCACATCACTTCAACAATAATGTGATTTAGTGGCATTAATTTTATGACATTTTATACAAGAATGACACAAAAATTCATTTTAATGATATTTATCAACAGATGTCATTAAACGACCAATGCATTACAACTATTTTAATGTCACTTTGTGAGAAAGATGCCACTAAACTTTAAGATTTATGGCATTTTGAGAAGTACCACTAAGTCATAATATATTTTAGACATCATCAAAATTAAATAATATGATTAACAAAAACAAAACAAAAAGTTCAATATACTCACAATAATTTTTAAAATGCACCATCCAAAAAAATAAAAAATTTAAATATTACATTTTTAACTCTACTTGTGACACGTACAAAAAATTGATGAATGGCCTTATATGAATTAAATGCAAAAATAAAATTTCTAATTACTCTTTAATATAATGATAAAATTACTTAAATTTTTAATTGGAATAAATTTTTGAAATCATCAAAAAGTATTAATTAACTTGATAATTTATTAATAAAATTGGTCATTAGTGAACGTGATGTAATTTCTAGAACTATAAACAGATAAATCTTATTTTAAACAAATCTTAAAAGATATATTTATAATTTTACCCATTTTTAATTACCACATTGGAAATGTCACAAAAATATTATTTACTGGCATGTTTTGAATACATCGATATTGACATTTCATTAAAAAAATGCCACAAGAAAATTTAATTTTAATGGCGTTTAGTTATTAATTTTAGATTATTTTAAGCACTCTTGGGATAATTTTAAACATTCTTTCTCAACCTATTAGCAGTTTATCTGTTTCTTTCTCTCTCTGGGGTTTTTGATCGGCAATAAATGATGCGTTCTTCATGTTCGACAACAGCAGCCAAAAGTAGGCCCAAGTCCATACGATTTACATACCTTAGAAGGCTGCCTTCAAGTTTCGCAAGTACACCAATCATGTTTGTGACGGTGCCCCTCACAACATCTTGGTCATTCTCAAATACATTGCAATCTAGGTAACTTTTGATCATTCTTATCAAGCCCACGCACATCTGAGATCTATTGCTTTGAAACTTGAAATTTTTATACTGTCTCTCTCTCTCTCTCTCCTCACTCCATAAATGTTTGGGACATCACTTTTGTCATGAATTACTAGTTGATATTTGTTAATTCTAACTCTGTTCACATGGGAAAATAATAGGAACTTGAGAATTTGTGTCAAAATGCCCAAATAGTCGATTCATGGGACGCAATCCAGTCGCAGGATATAGCCAAAAGCTATTGTTGTATAGCAATTTTTTGATGATCAGTGCATACATAGAGATGTATATATACAGGCACACAACTATAACTATCAATGTACCGTTTTGGCTTTATTTTTTATTTTCAAAATTTATAAGATTGTTGAACCAATCAAGTTTTTTTTTTTTTTGGGTGTGAGTTTTACTGGACTCAAATTAATGAATATTGCTCTGTTGATTGTTTATACAATCATCACACATGTGCATAAATTTTCACTTGTATTGCAAGTGTTTGATAGAATGACCCAATAACTCATTAAATAGCTATTGTTGTATAGCAATTTTTTGATGATCAGAGCATACATAGAGATGTATATATACAGGCACACAACTATAACTATCAATGCACCGTTTTGGCTTTATTTTTTATTTTCAAAATTTATAAGATTGTTGAACCAATCAAGTTTTTTTTTTGGGTGTGAGTTTTACTGGACTCAAATTAATGAATATTGCTCAGTTGATTGTTTATACAATCATCACACATGTGCATAAATTTTCACTTGTATTGCAAGTGTTTGATAGAATGACCCAATAACTCATTAAATTTGTTCCACTTCAACCATGTATAAATGTTCATTGGAAGTGCTACTATATACACCCCAAAAGCTTTTTATTGATATGCATCCAAAGTTTTAATCACAATGGTTCATAATTTTCACTAATTTGGATCATAACCAAAATCAATTTGGTTCTTAAAAAAATACCATAAAGCCTCATAACTAAGGCCGCTTAAATTTATAACTAAACATCATAAAATTTTATAACCAAAACCACCATGGGTTATAACCATAAACACTACAAAAAGTCTAATAATCAGGTTCATCATAAATTTGACCATCACAAAATCTTATAACTAAATGCCACATAATTCATAAGTAAGACCACAAATCATTAGAACTAGGGTGCATGGTACACATTTTTTAAGGGGATGTGTATCATAGAATTTTTCAATGTTTATTTTAATTGACTCTTACAAATTATTTGTGATATAGGAAGTTTTCAACTTGAAAAACAGAGTCTTTTGAAAGGACATCCATAACTTGCGAAATCTTCATGCCATGTTTCACTTTCCTAGTTGTAATAAATAGTACTCTGGTCTTGTTTTTAACTATGCTTCTCCTGACTTGGGTTTTCATGATTCAAAGTGCAGTGTCAAAAAAGCTGTAAAGAAAACCACTTTCCCAATCATTTTGTTGAGATTCTTAAGCCTAAAGTTGGACCTCCAAGAGAAAAGTCCATGAATTGAGCCTGTACACAGCCAAGAAACCCCCCCACCATTTGAGAATGAATGTCCAAAATTTCCAAAACTCATCGAATTGAACTGAACAAAACTTTAAACAGTTTGCTTCATGTTCAGAATCGAACAAAACAAATACTTAGGAAATATATCCATGAACCTTATCGTCACTTGGTCTGTGTGTAAATACTTAGGAAGCTATAAATTATAATTTAGTAGTTGCATTTGATTCATATTAGATTTCTAGGTTAGCTAAAACTATTTCAGAAAATGTTGCAAGTTTTCAAGGTTTACAGAAGCCTATTGGTAAGACATCTCATCTTTGTGAACTTTGCTCTTGATGGACATAAAATATTAATTTGGTTAGGAAGACATGGATGCTGTAATTCTAGATGCACCACTTTCTCAGGTGTTGAGAGACAACGATGTTGATGATGATGGAGATGAGAAAGAATTAGATCTTCTTATGTGACTGTTAAATTTGTTGAACATTGCTAGTTATTTATATTTGAAAACAATTCTATAGTTTCTTTTCCCTCTCTTTCTTTATCATTGTTTTTGTTAATTTAATTGATTGTTCGAAGAATGAATAATGCAGTTTAAATTTAACTATGTCATTTTCATATGTGGCTACAAAATATTTATTAACTATATGTTACATTTAGTCACTATCAAGATAGCAACGCAATAAAGGTGAATACACAAATTTTCTTTGTTAATTTTCTTCAAGTATTTTTCTTTGTTACATTCTATGTTTACAATTTGATCAAAAAATATTTTGCTTCAATCATACTAGGATTCATCTGTAAAGGAAAAATCCTATGGACCCATATCCTCGTCTAATTTATGGAGAGATACATCTGGTCATAAAGCAAACCAAGACACAACAATGGATGCTATGGCAGTTGAAAATTCGGAGTGCTCTGAATAACTTGACAAACACATCTAACCAGGTAATTTTTTTTAATAGAATTTATAAATTATTAATGTTTTCCTACACATATATATACATACAAATATCTATATGTGTGTGTTTTTGTAAAATTAATTAGTTAACAATTTTGTTAGCTCACAACAACTTCTAGTCCTCTTGACATGGTAACTCGACATCAAGTATGGTCCGTGTCATCAATATAAGATGTCTCTCTTACTCAGGTACCCACTAAGTGCTAATCACATTGTTCAAATTTACTTCCAACTCTATTTTAGAATAGCATGCAAAATTTGTTTTACAGCTTTATTTTACAATGTATATCACTTTCAGTTGTGATCATCTTCACTCTGACACTTTGTACTAGTTTATTTTTAATATATTATTTATTAATTGTAAATTTATAATTACTTAAGTAGTTAAATCTTGATTTATAGGTGGGAGATATAGTTGTTCTAAAAAGTATCATTAGGCCAACAGAAACAGTTGCAATCGGGGTACTTAAAAGCACAGACCCATCTAAAGAAGTAGAAGGGGAAGAACTAGGACCTGACTATTGGGAGATCGCTGTTCAAGTGCTAGTCAAACTGTCAGGACCCGAACTCGCCCCTATGGATTAAGGTCATAACCGACCAGTAATCAAGGGATTACCTGCGGCCTCAAACCAAACAAAACGTATTCCATCAGAGTTAAGGGGCCAAACGGAAGCAAACTTGCAAATTGTCCATAGAGCCGTGCTTACATGGCACATCAAATAACTCATATCAGCATTCATTAATAACTCACACTAAAAAGGAAATCAACTTAAAGTGTTATACACACACAGAATCATTCAAGTCTTAGTCAGCCTAACCAAAACTTATATACAAAGGTAATCCAACATTTCGCCAACACAACGAGATTACAACAAGAGATCAAAAGAGGTGAAAGTAAGTCTCATGCGTGAGACGTTTAGGGCTGACTCTCCAAAACTTGACCTTTCTCACAGACTTCATCAGGGCTGGGTTTGGACATCTCTTTGCTCACCTACATACACATGAATGAGTGTGAGCAAAAGCCCAGTGAATAATATCAGATAAAGAAGGTACGCAAATGAGATTCACATATATCAAATGGCCTTGGGCCCATGTAGAATTCTATTTAGTGCATTATTTTGGTACATTAGGCGATTCAAGCCCGAACATATCAAATGGCCTCTGGCCCACTTCGTTCTTTGACAAACGGCCTCGAGCCCAATTCATTCATGTATATCAAATGGCTTTTGGCCCAATCAATTGTATCCAACGGCCTTTGGCCCTTTCATTCATTCATTCACGTCAAATGGCCTTCGGCCCAATCAATTGTACATGTCAAACGGCCTTTGGCCCATTCATTCGTTCATTCATGTCAAATGACCTTTGGCCCAATCAATTGTACATGTCAAACGGCCTTTGGCACAACCAATTGTATCCAACGGCCTTTGGCCCATTCATTAATTCATTCATGTCAAACGGCCTTCGGCCCAATCAATTGTACATGTCAAACAGCCTTTGGCCCAACCAATTGTATCCAACGACCTTTGGCCCATTCATTCATTCATTCATGTCAAACGGCCTTCAGCCCAATCAATTGTACATGTCAAACGGCCTTTAGCCCAACCAATTGTATCCAACGGCCTTTGGCCCATTCATTTATTCATTCATGTCAAACGGCCTTCGGCCCAATCAATTGTACATGTCAAACGGCCTTTGGCCCAACCAATTGTATCCAACGGCCTTTGGCTCATTCATTCATGTCAAACGGCCTTCGGTCCATTTATTCATTCATGTCAAACGGCCTTCGGCCCATTTGTTCATTTATGTCAAATGGCCTTCGGCCCATTTATTCATTCATGTCAAACGGCCTTCGGCCCATTTGTTCATTCATGTCAAACGGCCTTCGGTCCATTTATTCATTCATATCAAACGGCCTTCGGCCCAATCAATCGCGTCCAACCATATGGCATAACAAATAGTTGTCCACAATTCGATTTAACAAACTTATAAGACTTAGATGGAAGTAACAAACAATTCTCAAAACTAGTTTTGAAATGGTGATCACCAAGTACCCTCTCCTCTTCCTCTCTTTTTCTTTTCTTTTCTACTCTTTCTCTCTTATTTTCTTCTTTGCTTAGGTGCGTATCTCTAAGGTGGCTGAAGATGGGGTCCTTATGTAGGAGTTTGGAGGCCTATTTTTATTTTATTTTATTTTTATTTTATTTTTTCTCTTGGCTTGGAATTATCATTTATATGTATAGGTTTTAGAGTATGCTCCTATGCATGCCTTGGCATGCTCTGCTAGAGGCTTGGAATTATCATCTATATGCATAGGCCTTTATGCATGCTTTGACAGCAGCCTATTGGGAAGAAAGACAGCCCAAAATCCTCTGCCCAAAACAAATCTGATTTCCTTTTCTTTTTTATTTTTTTTATACAAAATAAAAACCAATGAATATATATAACTTAGTCACTAGATATTTTGCTCCTTTCTATCCTCTGATGAATTTAGTTACTATTTATTTAACTCATTTAGTTTCCATAATTGTATTTAGCTACAAAAATTTTATCACAGAAAGATAAATAATTTTATTTAAAGGAATTTAATATTGGTATTAATCATGATGCTATTAACATTATAATTTGATAATTTAATAAACACTATTAATTGACTTAATATTGTTATTGACAAACTTAATTAGTTGTACAAAATTTTAGATTCTTACATGTACATTTAAGATTTTTTGACAATTAATAGTGGATCCTGTAGCTTTTTCACATATTGAGCATTAAACTGCAATACACAACATAGAACAGAGATACTGAACTGCATGACATTACAATCAATCTTAAGGCACACAATGGCATATTTATATGGCCAACAATATGTGATTTTAAATAAGATAATTTATGAGCCTAAAAACATTCAAATTATCTTTGCTTGAGCAATAAACACCTATGAGGTTCATTTTAAACAGTCAAACAGTTTAGACCTTCAAGCTTAAATGTTATGCAAAGCAAACCACTTGGAGCTATTACATCCTGAACATATGGGAAGGAAATGAAAAGAAAAAAGGAAATAACAATATAAGTAATAAGCCTGATGTAACTCTAGGGTGGGGTTATAATTAATATGACAAACATGACTCTCCATAACTTGACGAAGCCCTATTGAGCTTATAAAGAAACCATAAGATGATCTATTGACCAAATGCACCTTTTTCATTCTCATGAATGTTCCAACAATCACGTGCTAGCCAAGAATTACCACTTAATCACAAAATAAGTTCTAGGTGGTATATGGTTGAAAAAAATTAAAGCTCTCAGCTCAGTTCAACCTCAATTTTGCAGATCCCCAACAAAACAAACATAACATAAGTACAGAGGCAAAACAAACAGGTAGATATACAACATAAGCATGCCAAAAATGCTAACAAAAAGTTCAACTTAGTTTCATTGTTCAATAATTGACCGGCACCTGAAATTATAGGATGGCCGGTACCTGAAATTCAACTCAGCTTCATCGTTCAATAATTCTAATTCACAACAAGGGAGCACTACACAGCAAAGAAGAAAAATAAATAAATAAAAGAAAAAAAAATTTACAGTGTCAAAATCAGACTTATCTCCGAAACTGCTCAGTATTGAAGAACTCCAAAGCGAGCTGCAATCTAGAGATAGTGATTTTGTGTTTTTATTTAATTATAATTGTCTGAATAGCCTAAAAGGAGTTTAGATGGATCAATAACGAACATAAATTAGACATCTATAAATCTATAAAAAATTGAGAAAAAAAAAATTAGTTTAAAATAATGAAAGAAATTTGCAAAAAAAAAAAAAAAAAAAGAGGACAAGAAGAAATTAGGCTACCAAACCAAAAACAACATTCTCATGGCAAAAAAGAAGAGCTATATACAAAAATTCAAAGCTCATGCATACAGAGCTCCACATAAAACATCTCTAACAGATCAACCTTCACAAAAAATCAAGGATGTCAAGTTTAAATCAATAATTCTTCATCATTTCCTTCTGCTCTTCTCAGTTTTTTAAAATTTTAAATTAAATTCAGAAAACACATTTAAAACCTCTATTCGACTCTGAATTTCTTAATTTGAATCTTCGAAGGCAACAGTAAAGAAATAAAAATATCAATTCAGTTTTAAACTTCGTACATATGAACGCATAAACACGTAAATACATATGCATATGCATATATGTGATATGTGAGTTGTACGTGATATCACTTAGAATCATTTGGGAGTACAAAATTCTATCAATTCGAGAAAAATATTGAGTTTGGAGCATCAAATAGTTCTACATCTCCGTGTGGTTCACAAAATCAAAAATAGAAACAGTTCAGAGAATGAAAATTCAAACACTAATTTGAAAAATAAATTTAAATAGTCATCTTATAAAAAGAATTCCAAAGACTCAAAAATAACAGAAGTAAGAATCGAAATAGAAATTGGGAATAAGAATCTGCGAAGAAACAGTAAGATACCTGCAAAGTATGCAATGGCCTTAAATAGGCCTAAATTCCATGAATTTGGCTGGGAATTTCATGACACATCTTCAAGAATTATTCTTTTTTCTTCCTTTCACCCTCACATTCCATTCTCCTTAATTAAAATCATTTTTTTCTCAATTTAAGGAAGAATTCAGGGTCTTTCTTTTATAATCATTCTACCAATGCAATGCTATCAATCTATCTACACAGAATATAATGCCAATGTAGTCAATCATAAAGCTAAGCACAACTGAAGAAAATAATCCAAGCAATGATTTATCACTCAAACATGATACAAAAAAACAAACTCATCATAACAATATTTGTACGATTTTAATTTAGCACCAATGAGAAGAGACCAATGAACAATTTGGAGGGAAGCAATATGTTGATCAAACTAAGCTACATCCAACACACAGCTTCAAGGATCAACAAAGATAAAAACAGAGAATACATTAACTTTTAATTTAGGCCAACATTAACATTATCAAAAGAGATAACAACAGTATAAATTACCTCCAAAGCATAGCCACAAGCCATTATGACAAGATGAGCTTTAGGTTGTCAATGTCAATGGTTATTTCCTCCAAAACAGAAAAAAAATAAAATTTACCATAACCAAATCTTCAAAAGGCTATCATAAATAATAATTGACCATTTTTATTGCTAATCAGTGCTTGTTCATTCAAGCATTAGTGCCAAACAACAACGTTAACAAAGTGATATATATATATATATATATTTTGTAGGATACATCTCAGTTTTTTACCTTTAGCATCATCTTTGCCTTCTCAATTTCAAGATGATGAGGATGACTTGCAACAAAAATTAAAAAAAAACAACAACAATTAAAAAGTATTAAACAAATATAATTTCCAAAAACTACATCAAACAAAGTGAAATGATCAACGTAGCATAGATAATCAACAGACCTTGAACCTAAATGTTCAGATTATACAGAGCTTAGAGTTAGAAATCGAAACTCAAGAGATTCATGTATCTAATTAAGATAATCAAATCATCAACCACAACAAGCAATGCAAATTATAGTTCAAATTCAAATCAAATTGTTTACCTGAACCGAAGCTTGAGTCCCAACTGACGCGATCGCAGTCGTAGTAGCGCTTATCGTATCTAGAGCATTGTTGTTTGCACTTCTCATCTCTTTGTTTTTTCTCTTTGCTCAATCAAACAATTAACCTAATTTCACTCAACAATTTTCTGTTTCATCATCGATCAAATCTCGTAGAGGCTGCAACTTTCTCAAGAAAATTCAACTTAGAAAATCAAATTTCGAGTGGGAAAATGAAATTGAAGATCAGAGAAACAGAGCATGACGAAGAAAGTGAGAGACCGAGAGATAGAGATTCATACCACTGGAGCTGCGACTATGGCGAGCAAGAGAGCGAGAGGGACAATTTGTGAATGGCGTGAGAGTGAAAGGGGCTAGGGCATTGGTGTATAAAATAAATAAAAGAAATAGCAATAATAAATTGAGGGAAGTAAAATCATGTAGTTTTGAAC